ATGCTTTCCTACATGGCAACCTTGAAGAGGAAATTTACATGGAGGTCCCACCTGGGTTTAACTTTGAGAAAGACAAAGTTTGTAAGCTAAGGAAGGCCCTTTATGGACTGAAACAGTCCCCTAGGGCCTGGTTTGGCAGGTTTACCACTGTGATGAAAGATATGGGATATAAACAAAGTCAGGGAGATCACACTTTGTTTACTAAGCATTCAGCCTTAGGGGGAGTTACTGCACTAATTGTTTATGTGGATGATATAATTGTAACAGGAAATCATCAAGCAGAAATGGATAGCCTAAAAGTGTGTTTGCTAAAAGAGTTTGAAGTAAAAGAGTTGGGCAGATTAAAATATTTTTTGGGCCTTGAAGTGGCACACTCTCGTCACGGTATTTTCATCTCTCAACAGAAGTATGTGCTGGATTTATTATCTGAAACTGGTAAATTGGGATGCAAACCAGTAGAAACTCCAATTGAACAAAATCACAGACTTAGTGAATTTGTTGAAGATGCAACTGTGGACAGAGAATCCTATCAAAAGTTGGTTGGAAAGTTAATCTATTTATCTCACACTAGGCCAGACATAGCTTATGCAGTGGGAGTGGTGAGTCAATTCATGCATAATCCCAAAGAAAATCATCTTAGAGCTGTTTACCGAATTTTGCAATACTTGAAGGGCACTCCTGGAAAAGGAATTCTATTTACAAAGGGTCAAGGAATTACTTTGGAAGCCTATACAGATGCTGATTATGCTGGATCAGTAGATGACAGAAGATCCACATCCGGATATTGTACTTTTCTTGGAGGAAACTTGGTGACTTGGAGGAGCAAAAAACAAAACGTTGTTGCGAGGTCAAGTGCAGAAGCAGAATTTCGGGCTATGGCTTTAGGTATTTGTGAACTCCTATGGCTGAAAATAATTCTACAAGACCTAAAGATTGAATGGAATGGACCCATGAAACTATATTGTGACAACAAGTCAGCAATAAACATTGCACATAATCCAGTGCAACATGATAGAACGAAGCATGTCGAAGTAGACAGACATTTCATCAAGGAAAAATTGGATAGTGGGACAATATGTATACCATTTGTATCAACTGGAAATCAGCTGGCAGATGTTCTTACAAAAGGATTAAGTGGTTCTACATTGCAATCTATTATCGGCAAGTTGGGAATGAGTAACATCCACTCTCCAACTTGAGGGGGAGTGTCAGAACGAGCTGTACATGTGTTAATTAGTGGTATATTTTATAGTTAAATAGGATTAAAATCCCATAAATAGGATTTGATTAGCTGTGTATGTATTTATAAAAATTATTGGTCCTTACTTGTAGAATTGATTGAGGGCAATGATAAGTATTTATTAGGAATTTCCTTTCCTAAATATATTGTATTCTATTTAAGAGCACAGGCTGCTCTAATCAATAATAAAAAACATTATCTCTGTCAGTATCTCCAATTTCCTCCATCGTTCTTCGCGTTTTCGAGGATGATTAGTGTGTGATAGAATATCATAAAGCTAACAGAAAAAACAGTTATATCAAATCTCAATTGTATTCATTATTTTAGATACAATGATAGCTCTGTTTATATAGAGAGCTCAGCATAACAGAATTCTGTTATGATCTAACAAACTAAGACAGCTCAGCATAACAGAATTCTGTTATGATCTAACAAACTAAGACAGCTCAGCATAACAGAATTCTGTTATGATCTAACAAACTAAGACAGCTCAGCATAACAGAATTCTGTTATGATCTAACAACCTAAGACAGCTCAGCATTACATCTTTCATTCCCCCTTTGAAGCTGGGGGTAGTTCTAGCAGACTATGTTTGTCAAAAACTCTGAGCTTAGAACGAAGGGGCAGAAACTTGTTTGCAGATAGAGGTTTAGTAAGTGCATCAGCCCATTGGTCTTGAGCAGAGACATGAGCCACAACAAGACTCTTGTTGAGGACTTTTTCTCTAACAAAGAAAATGTCCAGCTCCATATGCTTAGTTCTATTATGGAGAACTGGATTGTGAGCAAGAGTTACAGTGCTCAGATTGTCGCATAGAACTTTAGGAGTTAGAAAAGGACAGTGCAACTCCCTGAGCAGAGACTGCACCCATAACAATTCTGCAGCCAGATGTGCCATGCTGCGATACTCTGCTTCAGCACTGGACCTGGCCACTAACTGCTGCTTTTTAGACCACCAAGCTATCAGGTTAGGGCCAAGAAACACACAGGCACCAGAGGTAGATCGCCTGTCATCTGGGTCTGAAGCCCAATCAGCATCACAAAAACCAAGTAATTACAGAGGCTGCTGAAGAGAGGCTGGTTGAATGAGCAGACCATGATGTTTTGTACCACTTAAATACCTTAATATTCTCTTCACTGCCTTCCAATGTTCTTCCAAAGGATTGGACAGAAATTGACAAACTTTGTTGACAGAAAAAGAGATTTCTGGTCTAGTTAGTGTAGCATACTGCAGAGCCCCAACCACTGATCTGAATTGTGTAGGATCATCAACATCAATAGAACCTATTTTGGATAATTTGCTGCTGGAAACCATGGGTGTGGGCATACCATTTGCACTGGTCATGTTCACCTTGGCTAGTAAATCAGTGATGTATTTGCTTTGAGATAGCAGAAGTGAGCCATTAGGCAAATGTGTGACTTCAATGCCTAGAAAATAGTCTAATTTGCCCAACTGTTTTAGAGAGAAAACCTCATTGAGATGTTTGATTAGGGCTGTAATGAATAGAGCAGAATTTCCTGTGATGATAATATCATCCACATAAACCAAAATCATTATCTGAAGTTTGCCCTGATGCAAAAAAAATAGACTAGGATCACATTTACTGGCCTGAAAACCTTGCTGAATGAGGGCATTTTTAAGCTTGTCAAACCAGGCCCTTGGGGCCTGTTTTAACCCATAAATTGCCTTATTCAACTTACACACAAGGGACTTATTAGAAGACTCAAAACCAGGTGGCTGCTGCATAAACACTTCCTCCTCAAGAGTGCCATTGAGGAAGGCATTATTCACATCGATTTGCTGGATGGTCCACTTGTGAGTGACTGCAAGTGTCAAAACTGTCCTTACTGTAACAGGTTTTACAACAGGTGAGAAGGTTTCAGAAAAATCACTTCCAGCCTGCTGATGGAAGCCTTTGGCCACCAATCTGGCCTTATATTTGTTAAGAGTACCATCAGAATTCTCTTTTACCCGAAAAACCCACTTGCAGCCGATGGGTTTCCTTGATTCAGATGGTTCCACCAGTGTCCAGGTCTGATTTCTCATCAGTGCCTGATATTCTTCCTTCATTGCCTGGTACCAGTGAGGAACAGCCAAGGCTTGACCAACAGAGGTTGGTTCAAGATGAGTCAGTAACAAGGTAGGGTTTAGTCTAGGTTGTACAATGCCTCTTTTGGCTCTTGTTTGCATTGGGTGAGTGTTAAAAGGATTGATGAAAGGCTGAGAATTAGGAGAGGAAATGGGACTTACAGATTGAGATATAGCAGGGGAAGAAGATGGGGATATGGTACTTGCTTCTGCTAAATCAGAAGTGATAAGAGCGGGTGCGGATGTAGAGGTGTTGGGAGAACTAGACAGAACAGGGGACTGCTCAGCTGAGTTGGGTGTTTCAGGGACATTGTTATGTAAGTTATTGGAGGTAGCATGAATGTGAGTAGAAGAAAGAGGAGTAGCAGAAATGGATGGGTCAGAACTGACTTGCGAAATAGGAGTTGGTGACATGAGAGGCACACTGGAATAAGAAAAAGTGGAAGATTGAGGTGTGGTAGATGAGGAAGGTTTAGAAGATTCAGAAAATAATTTGGAATAAGGGAATATGGACTCTTGGAACAAGACATCCTTAGATATGTAGATGTGACCATTAGGAGCTAGGCACTTGTAGCCTTTATGAGAAGTGGAATACCCTAGAAATATACATTCTTGAGACCGGTAATCAAGTTTGTGAGAGTTGTAAGGGCGGAGAAAAGGAAAACAGGAACATCCAAAAACTCTTAGGCAAGAATAATCAGGTTGCTTGTTGAGAAGTTTGAAAAAAGGGGACTGATTATTGAGACTGACACTAGGGAGTCTATTAATTAGATAGGCTGCTGTAACAAAGGAATGGTCCCAAAATTTCAAGGGCAATGTGGACTGTGCAAGTAAGGCTAGACCTGTTTCAACAATATGGCGATGTTTGCGCTCAACTATGCCATTTTGATGGTGGGTATGTGGGCATGTGAATCTGTGGACTATGCCTAAGTCATTGAGATACTTGGTGAATGGCCTAAATTCACCCCCTCCATCACTCTGCACACTTTTGATAGGAAAGTTAAATTGAAGTTCAACCATTTTCTTGAATTGAACAAATTGAGAGAGAGTATCAGACTTAAGTTTAAGAGGGAAGACCCACACAAAGCGAGAGAAGGCATCAACACAAGTTAGGAAATAGCTATAACCTTCTAAGGACAGCATGGGAGCAGGACCCCATAGATCACAAACGACAAGCTCAAAAGGCTGCTTGTAAACAGTGGCAGACAGAGAGGGGGGAAGCCTGTGAGATTTGCCTAAGCAACAAGCTGAACACAGTTCTGCAGGTGGTTTAGAAGGAGCAGAAAATTGACACAGTTTAAACACCTCAGTGAGAGCATGATGATGAGGATGACCTAAACGAGAGTGCCATAAAACATATTTATTTGTTGCTATAGCCAGAGAATTATTCACATGCTGAGATGATAAAGAATTATAAGTAGTAGCATTGAGAGAAGGTAAAGTGGAACAAATGGAATTATCTTTATTCATGAATAAATCAGCAGTACACAGAGAAATACACTTGTATGAATCATTTGTATTGCCTACAAACCTACTTGAAGTACTACTACTACACTGTTTTGAAGTCTCAGCTAGGCAGGAGTTGAGACTTTGTGAGGACTTGAAATTTTGTAAGGCTGGAACAGGAAATTTGTAGAGACCATCTGCGCCCACCAGACCACGAAGTAAAACTTCAGAAGAAGCCTGGGATTTGACAACACAAAATTTTGGGTGAAACTCAAAGAAAACCTTATTGTCCTGAGCAAATTTGCTAACACTCATAAGATTTTTAGTGATGTGAGGCACGAGTAAGAGATTTTGCAAAGTGAGAGACATGTGAGGATGGTTAGGTAAAGGAAAAGGCATAGAACCAATAGAATGAATAGACAAACCTTGGCCGTTTCCCATAAACACTTGCTCAGTTCCAGGCACAAAATTAGATTCAGACACATTTGAGGGATCAGGAGTAACATGATGGGACGCACCGGAATCAGGATACCACCATTGATTACTGAAGCCAACATCAGTGCCTGCATAGAAAGCCTGTGGAGAAGATGCACGAGAGGAAGCAGCTCTTGGAACACCATAGCTAAAGGGAGGTTGGTACATAGGTCGTGATGGCATCATGAAAGGATTGTAGGGAGCTCTCTGAGATTGATACATTCCAGCAGCAGAATTTGAGTAACGATAATGGCAAATGGAAGCATCGTGTCCAGATTTGTGACAAATCTGACACTGAGTTTTGCCAAAACAGCCACCTCCACGGCCAAAACGACCGCCTCCACGATTTGAACGGCCACCACGTGCACCATAGCCATGATTCTCAGTATTGGCAGTAACATGACTTGTTCCCTGTGGAAAAGCCTCAGTACCAGCACTGGAATGATCTGACGTAGCCGGCGATGACGGTGTCAACGCCTGAGTCAAATTGACCGTCACCGGCTCAGTGAGAACTGCTTTGCGATGCTTATCCAGACGCGATTCATGTGCCAGCAGCGACGACTCAAGTTCATCGAGTGAACCGACTTCTTCTTTGCTGTTGACGGCGGCGACAATGGAGTCGTATTCCTCAGGAAGAGAATCGAGCACAATTTCAATTAGGTTTCGAAGAGGAACGGGATCGCCGATCGAAACCAGTGATTCACTGATTTCGCGAACACGAATCATCAATTCAGCAATCGTAAGAGTGCCTTTCGTAAGGCGGCGTAATTCCGAGCGCAGTTGACGAGCTTTGGTGGATAGGAGTGTACCGAAGTACCGATGAACCTCCGTCCAGACTTGTCATGCATGTCTACAGTCAACGAGTTTGGGAAGAATGGAATCGGAGATGGTGGATAACAACCAAGTGCATATGAGCGCATCTTGTTGTTCCCACTCGCAATACGCAGAATTCGCACCGTGAGGTGACGAATCAGTATCAGACGATGGCGGCGGTGGAATCACCGGTACAGTAACAAATCGTTGTAACCGATGGCCACGAACAACACCATCGATTTGTTGCTTCCACTGCTTGAAATTCTTATCATCAAGCTTGACAGAGATAAGATGTGACAACTTCACTTGCGAAGAGGGAAATAGGGAATCCATGGAGAACCACTACTGGATCGAAAAGAATGCTCTAGATACCATGATAGAATATCATAAAGCTAACAGAAAAAACAGTTATATCAAATCTCAATTGTATTCATTATTTTAGATACAATGATAGCTCTGTTTATATAGAGAGCTCAGCATAACAGAATTCTGTTATGATCTAACAAACTAAGACAGCTCAACATAACAGAATTCTGTTATGATCTAACAAACTAAGACAGCTCAGCATAACAGAATTCTGTTATGATCTAACAAACTAAGACAGCTCAGCATAACAGAATTCTGTTATGATCTAACAAACTAAGACAGCTCAGCATTACATCTTTCAGTGTGTACAGAAGTTTCGTCATCACTGTCGTTCGGACTCTCCGGTGTTGTTCGTAGTTTGCGACGCATCAGGGCGGTTAATTTTGCTACTTGTTGGCTAGTTTCAACTCTTTCCTTGTGATCATCTTCAAGGATTTTCTCCACCTTTTCCCGCATGGCTAACAACCCTTCAAATCCACGTTCGAGAACTTCCAATCTGGCCTCTATTTCCCCTCACGTAGATACCATAAAGCAGTCCCGGAAGGAAACTGCTCTGATACCAGTTGATAGAAACTGGCACTGAACAGAAATAATTTAGAGAATAGGGATACTTTATTGATGATAATTCTGGTGGACAATCAAAGGACCAGAATAATATGCTTACAATAGTTATAGAAAATAGTGCAGAAAATTAGGACACACACACGAAGATTCGAGAGCTTGGTTCTCTCCCTCCCAAGTGTCTAACACTCACAACTTCAGGATCATCAGAACACAGTTCTGTTTCCCCTTTTATTCTGCCTAAGTTTTGTAACTGTTCCTAATATTAATTGTTACTCTAGTAATAATAATAACTGCTGCCTTTAGAAATTTGTAACTACTACAGATGCCATTAACATGACTGCTTATCTGCTTGTGCTGCTATTACTTGACTGCATTTATCTTGTTTTATTGGTGCTCCTTCCTCTTATAAGTATTCTTTATGAGGGGTCTAACAGTATCTAAATTTAACATTTAAGTTTATGAGGATATCATTGTACAACAATGATATCTACTTAATATCATATTATAAGGTATCAAAACATACTATCTTCCACACCAAAGTAACAAGATACAATATATATTTCATCGGGAAAGTTTAGACAAAATCAAATTAAAAAAATAACTGAAGCACCGTAGGGTCGATGTGTGACCTGAACATCATTAGCAGGCCTCGATCTTTGAATTATACTCTAATTTCACCAACACCACCTTTGATTCTTCGACGCCAAAAGCGGACACTTGCATATCTGAACATTGAACATCAGACAACCAAACATCATAGACATTAATGGGTATAAACAACTTCAAAATGCATATATTGTTATCTTATTTTATAATATTGAAATTTAAACATATGACGAGTTCCTGACCTTTCAATTTATTCATGATATTTGGATTGTGTATGAAATCTGTCATTTTCCAATCTATCAAATGAATATGGTTCATGTACTTCCAGTAAACATGTCATGAGTATAAACAAATACATGGTTAGATAAATGTTTTGAAAACATGCATGAACTTCCAAAGGGTTGGTAATATAGAGATTTTAGTTTTACACCAACTAATAACCTTTATGACTTTTCAGCCAATAGAAAAGTCAAACGTTTCTGTTCTGTGAATCCAAAGTAAAATATCTAACAAAACCTTTATGCTTTCATCACAATGATAATTTCTGGTGCTGGAGATGGTTGCTGAACCAAACCTCTACCTCCAGCCACTATGTCAACTCACCGGTGAGCAATTTCAAGACGATCCATTTGGAGAATTCCAGCAAAACTCAATCTCCATCAACTCCGGCACCAGAAATAATCTTAGATTTGTTCTTCGATTTCTGAATGTCCAATACGCATTATCTCATTGTAGTTTTCGGACGACGTTCCAACTCTCAGGCTGCCCCTTTTGTTCACACTTCACAGGATCCGCCACAGCCAAAAGCAGACAAAGAAACATAACTATGATTTCAAATCAATTAATACATGTTAGATTTCTTTACCTTCCCTTCTTAAGTTGCTGGCATCTACTGTTAGTATACTCCCGAAGTATTACAAATTTTGATCAACCCTTGCTAGACTGCTCCATCACCATCACCATTCTTCAATAAGTAAAATAATCTGCAGGAGTTCTTACAAAAACCATACTTACACACCATAGTTTATGTATAAATCTTTCAACTCGCTATTCAACTCATGATTGGTGTTTTCAAAATCAAACAAAGCATGCCTCAACAATGAGGCACTGTCATTTCAAATTTTTTTAAAAAAATCAGAACAAAGAACTAATAATATTGTATAAATAATACTAATACCTAATACATGTGCCTGAGGAGAGGCTTGGAACAACCTGTATGTTCTGGGTGGTTGGTAACACACATCCGTATATCCTACGACAATAGAATCTAAAAAAATACATAGCAAAAATGAAGTTTAAAAGAATAAGTTAGTGTAAACATTAACAACCATAAATTTGAAACGGAAAAACTAACAAAGTGATTGGTTTGGAACGATGAAACTTTGCCGACAATCTGTTTATATCCAAAAAATCGGTATACCTAATAACCCGTTATACTTAACAAGATTGATCAACAACCCATGAAACCAACACATGAAAGTAAAGAGAAGGTGTTTATATGTGTAAAAATGATACTAGAAAGTAACAAAAGAGTTAGTTGTGGTGATCTTTCATCTGTGATGTATCCTTACAGCGAGTTTCCACACTTGTTTTCGTTCATTGATGCCGGCAATGTTGTCGAATAGTGTGGGATAAGGTTGGTTGGAGGTGAAAAATCGATAGAGTTTCAGTTGTTTGTGAGCATATGAACAAAATGAATTTGGAGACGGGTGACAAAGAAAGGAAGTGAGACAAATAATTAGCAAGGATAGAGTTGTATTTTCCAGAATTATTTAAGTTTTTATACGGTAGATTTAAATGAAATCCCAAGTAAATAAAGTTTTAAAGATTAAAAATAAAAATGAAGAGTTGTAATATTTGATTGTGGGTTAGTTCCTTATTTTTAAATGAAATCCCAAGTAAATATTTGATTGTACGATGGATTTAGTTTCCTAGTCTTAAACAATATGGCAATTACTCTCTCCCTCTAAACCGAAACGAAGGTCTAGTCTAGTCATAGCCATGTCCTCCACACTCCCATCCCTCCTATCTCCCAACTTTGCCTTCAAATTCAAACCCTCGTCCTCCTTCCCACGTCAACAATTCCCAACCACCACTAACCCTCAATTCACGCGTAACCCCATTGGGTTTTCCCCTAAACCCCTCAGATTCACCCCGCTGAAGCGTTTTGCCGTAAATGAAGATTCCACTGTTGTCGCTGGGTTGGATCAAGCGGAGAAGGAACTTCGAGAGTCCAGCACTATGCCGGGACGGTTTAGAGATCACATTAAAGAAGCTACGAATCCTCCTCTCAAGTGGCCGTGGTTTCTGGGTTAGTTCCTTATCCCTTTCACTCCAAAATGTTTAACATTTAATTCTAAAAATAACATTTTCTTTGTGCCATTTTCATTATGTAATCAACATCATATAAGCATTAGCTGCTGAAATTTTCACACATGTTGTCACACTTCTCATAGCAAACCAGACTCTAATATATTGTTAACCAAGACAAAATAGATTCTTCAAGTGAACATTTGTCTTGCATCTTCCTTTGCTACCATTTTATCTTCTCTCTGTTACAACGACTCACTTTAAAAATCTCTTTTTGACTTGTTAACAAGTAAAGCTAACACAAATTTTACGAAATGAAAATAGAAAATATTTTCACGCCTAAGTTGTTCTACTAGAAAAGAAACCAGAGTAATTTTTGTAGTCTAAATTAATTGGTGTTGTTTACAAAGATGAACTTAATCTTGCATGTCTCTTTTGCTTGGCCCAACTATATTTCATTAATGACATGGCTCTCGTAACAATTTCATTCTATGCCGATGTGCAGCTATGGCTTTTCTCGTCTATGCATGGAGAGCTGTTCTATTTGAACTGTCAAACTGGAAGAATGCTGCATTTGGAATTGTTCGATTCATAGGATATGTCTTCAAATATGTCTTTGCTTTACTCTATCGATTCATAGGAAATCCAATCACTTTTACAATCAGATCCATTGAGGATTTGATTTACGGCATTCAAGCTTTTTACTCTTGGATAATTACTAGTGCCCCTGTACCAGACCTGACCATTGTTATCTTCTTCGCATCCGTTGTTTTAGCTATTGCTGAAACTACTGTTCCTAATTGTATCAGCGACCAACCCTATGTTCTGACCGTAACTGGTCTTATTGGCTATGCTGCTGTTAGAGGCGTTATTTCTGAACCACTGTTCTGGACTCTCTTGGTTGGGATCTATGGTTTTTCTAAATTTATCAAAAGGAGAGACAATGTTTCTTCTGCAATGCCTGTTGCAGCTGTACTTGCTGCTGTTGGAGAGCCTTGGGTTAGATTTGTGGTGATAATTTCGTATACGGCCTTGGCTATTTATCAGTATTCAAAAATGCTTGTAGAAGGGAAAGAAATTGAAGAGATTGAACGACAGGGGAATAAGCTTCCAATTCCGCTTTTTCTTGCAGCTTTAGCAATTGGTTTACGCGTTGCTGCTAAGTGGGCCGGGTATCGGCACTTGACATGGATGATAGTATAACCGATGATAGGTAATTAATCAGGGAATGAGGTTTGGTGGTCTGTAAAGTTTTGAGGTAAGATATGATTAGATAGCTTTTATTGTGATTTCCTTGTTGCAATTGTTGTAATTTTTTTAATCATAAAGCTGTACCTGTCCATCCAACATTGTCATTTGACTGTTTCATGTTTCAGTAGTTGCATTTGCAATTTTGATCACATAATATTTGGCCTTCCAAGGCCACAGAAAGTTGCATAACTCATGCGGCCATGTTTTTCAGATGCACGTTCTATGACAGTTTTCGTAGAAGAACTGCTGTTGCTCTCTTATGGAGACGCGGTTTGTGAGAGAAAAAAAGCCAAAGTAATCTTGTTTGAACTTCAAACCGATCATCGTATTAATTTCTAGTGAGTACAATATCTTCATGTTATGGTCCAAACCAAATCAATCAAAAAGATGTCAAGCTCAAACGTTTGAGCAAGAGCACAGTTTTTTCTTGGTTTGCCTTTTGTTTCTGTGCTCCTGAGTTCCAAGCAGATATGGCTTTAATAGGTGTTATGTTACCCGATATGCTGAGTCATTTTCATGCATCACGGCCAAATTGACGTGATTCTACAAATTGCAGCTTTTGTAGGTAGGTATGCGTATGGGTAATATATACCGAGTCATTATAATGAATATACGTATTAATGATGCCGCAAATCATTTTCAGTAATATGTTCTTGTCTGTGCCTAAAATACCTCTCTTTGGTTGATAATATTGTTTAACTTCAAACCTGAACAACTTTTCTGGAAGTATGATATGATTGTCTCACCATGTTGAATTGTTTTATCTTTCCAGCATTTGAAATTATTGATGACATGGAATATTGTGACTTCGATACTAGTTAGTAAACATATTTTTGCTTTGAACAGGATCATAAAGCCTGAATTGATCTTCCATAGTTTAACACTGCATAACTTTGAATCGTTCTTTTGTGCATCTGTTTTGATCCAAAGCCTCGTTATTCCTCCGAATTAAGATTTCCCTCCATTCTCACAGTCCTCGTCTCTTGCCATTTCCTCGCCAGTTCTACTTTTTTTAAGTTTCCAACTCTATAAGCTAAATAAAAATAGTAACTAATAAAATTAGTTTTGCAATTTCGAGATACACTGTAATTACAAATTTTGTAAAAAATAAAATATTTAAATACAAAGTTTTGTAAACATGAATTCAAATGAATTTTTATGAGTATCAAGTTATTGTACTATTGATCACAGGTGATTTTGATAAACAATCATTTTGTTTTATATTTATTGTTTTAAAATTATTGTTTGAAAGGAAAAATTTTATTTGCATAAGCAAAATTGGTAGACCTTTTCATATATTTTTTTCAGAGATTTGTTTCTCGCTTATGAGTGGGTATTTTGAGTGTGTATTGAAGTTTACAATGATTTTGCCACCTCGAATCTTAATACTAGAATTTCTATTTATAATATTTGTAAAATAACTGTCTTCAACGTTCAACTATCCTCCATTTGACACGTCATTCTTGCATGTTGTGTTTGCCTTCAATCAATCTCCACGTATCTCTGGTGTTTTTAGATAAGATAAAAAATAGTTACTTTGTATAATTTGAAATTTGCCTTGGTCGAGCATCATTCGAACTGTCGAACTGGACACTTTCTGAATCTTTGAAAATTCTGCTAAGTCTCATACCAAAATCTTTAGTATGTCGAGCATTGATACTTCGACTCATACTTTGCTTTTGGTTTAAAAGTATACAAACTCACACTTATGCAGAGGTTTCAACCATTTTTTTCGTGTCAAGCTAACATAATGAATTTTCTTAGTTAACAAATTTATTCCCAAAAATGTCACTTTCGATTCGTTTCGAGAGACAAGTGGCGATTTTGAAGTTCCATTACTATTCAAAGTTGTGTGCTGACGTCATCACCATCATGGCTACCTATCAAAACTTCTTTTCAAGACGCGCTAATGCAAAAAAAAAAACATCATGGTTCTGATTTTCTAGGAGATCACGAGCCATACCAAATCTCAACTTCCTCTTTTGTAGGCCACTCGTCAGAACAATTCTGACTTTCTTGAAACAAAAAATAGAAAACAAAATGAAGGTCTTTTCTTAAAGCTATAAATAGCTTTCTCCCTCATTTCTTCTCCTTTTCTTTCATTTCATCTTCCTTCTTCAACAAAAACTTCAGAGAAAAGCTCAAACTTTCCTGCGAAAGACTTCCAATTTCTTCATAATCACAATTTAAATGGCGTCCAAATCAACTTCAAAACTAAAGGTTTCTCTCGATCCATCTATTAGAACGTTCATTCTCACTGGAAATCAATTTTTTTTCCTGAACCTCCTCTTAAAGAGCAAAAAGCCCTAATCTATAACTCTCAAGTATTGATCCATACAACACATGTTTTCCTAGATCCTTTCTTTAATCTTAACATGAATGTAGAAGAGGCTAGCGAATTATTTTCCTATTGTTGCACCCTAAAATTTTCCCTCTTCTTTTTACCTTATACGGCTTATGTTTCATCATACACATTCATGCATTTTGATAGGATCAAGGTATCTTTGGGTCTCATGTTCTTCTACAAGCTATAAAAGGATGGTTGTATTGACAATCAATGCCAAAAGGGTCTCATGCCCTCACTCTTCGGGTCACTCAAACTACAAGGGTTTCTTATACCTCAAGACATCTCAATTGTCTCATTGATTCATCAAAAGATTAAAAATTGCAAGATTATTGAAGTGAATCACTTTTCTCCTACTCATCCCTTGAAATTAGGGTTTTTGCCAGATGAAGGATGTGGTTCTTGTGTGAGCCAAATTCTTGAAGTATTATCTTCTCATCGTCATATGAGACATCTTTGTTCAAGAGATCCTTCATCATACTCAAAGGAATTAGGGTTTTCAGATTGGATCATCACCTCCTAGCATAAGCAGTCAAAATTAGGATTTGTGTTTAAACCATGATATCTCTGATTTTTTGAGCAACACTTGATTTCATGCTTCTCAACATGTCCCTAAGAATCTATGATTGAAAGATTGATCATCAATTTTGATTGGAAAAGGATCAATTGCAGAGATGAATTTAAAATAGTCATTTTGGGGAAAAGTCAACCATACAGTCAACAAAGTCAACTATGGACATTTTAAGATCAAGATCATGATTATTAAGTCAAATATGTTCAATGGTGGAGATTTGTCCGAATGGAATCTCAAAAATCAAGAAAAAATTAATAAAGTTGACTTTTGTTGACTTTTTGGAACTTAGAATTTTTTCTAAGTATAAAAGATTATCATGATCATCGTACCATTTTTTTTAATACATGTAACTCTCTCATTTTTAATTAGAAATTTAAAAACTCATAATCATTAGAAAGAGGAAGTTTCAAATTACACTTTTGTCCCTGAGGGTTTATCTCGAAAAAGTCTTTGGATTGCCAAATATTCGAGCATAAAAAGACAAGCTCATTCAGATTTGGTTGTTGACACTTAGTGAATTTTCTGAAATAATTATCCAGGTTCATCATCATGATTTACAAGCTAAACTTCTCCTTTATTCAGACATTATCTCAATTCAATTCCAACACAAGAACTGTTCTTCAAATTTTCATCTTGTCAATACTTTAAGGATCAGTCATTTTGGTCTTTTAAATCTCAAGATATTATCTTGAGAAGTCGGGTTTTGAATATGAAAGTACATCAATCTTAGAGAAATTTTTGCATGTTTATGATCAATTTCACATGGGTGTTTGTGGCTAGTTTTAAGTTGATTCCAGGCTCCATTTCCAAATTATTCCAATGTGAGAGTTATTTCTCTCATTTCTCTCTTTCCATTGATCAAAATTTCATTCCATTTGGTTCAAAGATTATTGAGTTATGGTAAATAGAAGTAGCTGATTCATGGAACTTTGTGCTGCATGAGATTTCGGGTATTTTGTGTGCACACCTCACAATGGTTGCAGCATGCCTATAATTTACTCACTACACACGCATTACACTTTATTTCTTTGCCTAAATAAGTCAAACAAAGGCAAAATCACATGCATGGTCATGCTTTCATCGTGCTTGGCCAAAAGAGGAAAACTCTTTCCACTCTCTTTCTTTCACCCATGTGCAACATGACAGCTCACCACTTGCATGCATTGCATTCTTCACTCTCTTTTGCTCACTCAAAATGACCCCAACATCACAACCTTTATGGATAAAATGCAACATTCCATTTGCTCTTCACTCTCTCACGGAGCTTGCTCAACAAACTATCTCAACTGTGGTTAATTGTTAACCACACTCTGTATCCCATCTCAACTCTATAAAGCAAACTCTTAACCCTCTCATTTGGAAACACGCAAAAAATAGGCATCTGAGAGAGATAAAGAGATATCAGAAGCTTATTTGTTCATCAAAAATCTCTTTCATCACCTTCAAATTCTTTCTCGATCCAACTCCATTTCTCACTCTTTTTTTCTAGGTCTCTGAAGCTCAAGGACTACATCTCTGGGTTTCTTTTTAGCACTGGAAGCTTAAGGAGTGAAGTAGATTTATTTCCACAAGGTGAGTTCCTCAAACTTCATATCACTTTCATGCTAGGTTGTAAATGTTTATAGACTTGTTCATGAGCATATAACTGGCCAAACATTAGGTTTGATGTGGTTTGTTTATGCATTTTGAGCTTGCTTCATGATTTTTTTTTAATTTCTGAGTTTTTGATATTTCACTTGAACCGTGACCTTCTCACTTAAATATCTTTGTGATTTGTGCCTTTATTTTGAAAACTATGGATTCTATCGTATTCTTCATAGTTTAATCTTCAATTTTGGTTTTAATTTCACTCGATTTCATGGAGTATTCAGAGAGATATGAAGCTTTGAACATGTGAAGAAAAATTGGAAAATCGTGTTAGGGTTTATCTCGAGGTCAGGGACGATGAGGTGTCATTTTCTTATTGAACATGTTTAAAGGATTTTCGTAGCGCTTTTTAGGAATAACATGTGTAATAGATCTATTTCCGTTTTA